GAGAGAGAGAGAGAGAGAGAGAGAGAGAGAGAGAGAGAGAGAGAGAGAGAGAGAGAGAGAGAGCCAACAACTGCGTGCCAGAAACAAGTACCTGACCAGCAGCACGTGTAGGTGAGAGAGTAATTTCAGACATTCCCAATATACCTCCGAGGTTGGAAGCAGGCGGCGGGAGGCAACAGATAACGGCAGCCGATAAGACTCGCCTCAACACGGCTTATCGCACACGCGGCCAAAGTGCACTTACACCAATAGCTCACTCAAGGTTCACTCGTTTGTTCAAGTAATCCAAAGTTCACCTACACTGACAGGAAAGTTCACTGTACACGCCTCACAAATGCGACGCTCGAAGCGCAATCAGTTAGAACAGGTAATATATTGCTCAAAATTGGAACACGTGAGAACAGATGAGAGTATAAAACTGAAACTTTTATTCACGCCGTTCGTTTCAATGGTTTGAATACAACTTAATGTTCATTAATTAACAATGAACATATGCAATTCATCGATTTCACAATGTCTGCTTTGACCAGACGACCGAAACTCTGCACGTTCAAATATATTCGGATTTTCAGAGGATCACTTGATGATTACAATTTTGATGATTGACTCAAATAGTTCTTGAACGAAGCCTAATATTACCTGACCTAACAAGGCCTGACCTGACCTATTCTATTCTACTCTAACCTGACTTAATCTTACCTAATGTGAACTGATAAGACCTGACCTAATCTAACCTAACGTGACCTGACCTGACCTGACGAAACTAGGACAGTAAGACGACCAAAAGCCTCTACTGTGAGAGGTTTCATAAGAGAGTACATGCACTCTACGACTCGAATATACCAATCATAAAAACAATTCTCAAAAGACGAAGTCAGCCTATACCTGGTGATGTGGGGCTCAAGAGCTAGCATCCGATTCGGCAAGGACATTTAGGTTAGCTAAAACACACACACACACACACACACACACACACACACACACACACACACACACACACACACACACACACACACACACACACACACACACACACCAATCCTGGAGTATGCAGCTCCAGCCTGGAGTCCATACCTAGACGAAGTTACAATAGATTCAAAGGTATGCCACCAGACTGGTCCCGGAATTGAGAGGTATGAGCTACGAGGAAAGGCTAAGGGAGCTGAACCTCACATCCATGGAAAACAGAAGAGTAAGGGGAGACATGATAACCCCCTACAAAATTCTCAGGGGAATTGACAGGGTGGACAAAGACAAACTCTTTAGCACGAGTAGAACACGAGCAAGGGGACACAGATAGAAACTTAGTACCCAAATGAGCCTCAGAGACATTACAAAGAATTGTTTTTAGTGTCAGAGTAGTTAACGAATTGAATGCATTAAGTAATGATGTTGTGGAGGCAGACTCCATACACAGTTTTAAATGTAGATATGATGTAGCCCAATAGGCTCAGGAACCTTTACATTAGTGAATTGACAGTTGAGAGGCGGGACCAAAGAGCCAAAGCTCAACTCCCGCAAGCACAAATAGGTGAGTACAAATATGTGAGTATACACACACACACACACACACACACACACACACACACACACACACATTTGCCACTAGACTAGTACCCGAGCTGAGAGGTATGAGCTACGAGGAGAGACTGCGGGAATTGAACCTCACTTCGCTGGAAGACAGAAGAGTTAGGGGGTCATGATCACTATATTCAAGATTCTCAAGGGAATTGATAGGGTAGATAAAGACAGGCTATTTAACACAAGGGGCACACGCACAAGGGGACACAGGTGGAAACTGAGTGCCCAAATGAGCCACAGGGATATTAGAAAGAACTTTTTTAGTGTCAGAGTGGTTGACAAATGGAATGCATTAGGAAGTGATGTGGTGGAGGCTGACTCCATACACAGTTTCAAGTGTAGATATGATAGAGCCCAATAGGCTCAGGAACCTGTACACCTGTTGATTGACGGTTGAGAGGCGGGACCAAAGAGCCAGAGTTCAACCCCCGCAAGCACAACTAGGTGAGTACAACTAGGTGAGTACACACAGGTTTAAATCTTGAAGTTGTTTTCTCGTTAATTGACCGTCAAGTGGTAAAGGTGTTATCGTTGATAATGGCTATACTCTCTCTCTCTCTCTCTCTCTCTCTCTCTCTCTCTCTCTCTCTCTCTCTCTCTCTCTCTCTCTCTCTCTCTCTCTCTCTCTCTCTCTCTCTCTCTCTCTCTCTCTCTCTCTCTCTCTCTCTCTCTCTCTCTCTCTCTCGCCCCCCCCCCACACATTCCCTGTCTCCAGCACGGGAATGAGTGCTTAGTGTAACATCTCATGTGGTCTCCAAGCACCATTACTATAAGAACCACACGGCAGCTTAACGCCGACCAATCGAGCGACATAGAAAGCTTTGCAGCATCCCGATATCAAGTGTCCAGACCAGATACAGCGGGTTCGCGTTAATCTCCTGGACGACATTTATCTACTGAAAACGATAGCAGAACGCAGCCTCATCAGTCAGGTGAAGAGTGGTCTTAACATTTTTCCCTTTATTATACACGTATGTAGTCGGGATTCCCAGACCCGCCAACCTTATCTTCCTCATTTAACACACCAACTGCCTCGACCACACACAGCCACAACCTCCAGCAACTGCCTCCATACAGTTGATTGACGGTTGAGAGGCGGGCCAAAGAGCCAGAGCTCAACCCCCGCAAGCACAATTAGATGAGTACCCCCCTCCACCTAACACCTACCTCCAGTACACCCCCCCCCCCCCCTGCGTCAGCCGGAGATCAGTAGAGAGAGGCGCTGCCAGGCCACTTCCCGCGGGGTCGCCTTCCGGAGCCAGTTGTCAACCAAGTATCTGTGTGAGGGCAGTTCTGGCGGGCACATCACGACACACCCAAACGCCCCAGCTACTGGTAATGACGGTGACTGGGGCTGCTATGATGGTAACCGCTCAGTACTTCCCTCCCTCGAGTACTACCCTCCCTGGGGTACTCCCTCCCTCCCTCGAGTACTTCTCTCCTCCTTGGTAAACAAGAGTGACAACTATCGCAGCGTGACAGTGACTCTGGAGAGCTGGAGGTGAGTGGTGAAGGTCAGGCGGTGGTCCCTGGACGCCGAGGACCCGGGATGCTCCAGCAGACACTACGCGCCTCCGTCACAGGGTTGCAACTTTACAAAAACATTGTGTCCGTCTTTCTCCTTGGCGGCTGGAGGTGTACCGTCATGCTTTCTCATTTGTTGTTGGTTTGCTCTCGCGGCCCCCGTTTTCTACGAGATAAATTTGGCGAAGGAATGGTAAGGGGAAATTATGTTCAAGTTCTTTCCGATTCGATTTATAGACCCCAAACACGTATGTGCTGGTCGGTGGTGTCATAATATTAGTCATGCCTTGTAAATACCGCTCGCATGACATGACATTTTCACCCACTGTGTAATATGCTGTGTAGAACAACAAAGCCAAACAAAATACTATCCAATATTATTTTCAGACTTATGAATCTATGTAAGCTTAAAATATTTGGTTTCTTAAAAAAAAATTGTGAAACATTGCCAGACTGAGAGGTTAATGTGTTCCACTTTTTGCTGAGGTCTCTTATTATCTTTACTGAACAAAACGTGATTTTTTTTTGGGGGTGTGGGGGGGTGTGGGGTTGGGGGGGAGGTTCAACAGTGTATATTGTGTACATGCCATCAATAGTAGCTATTGGTTCTGTCATTTCTGGAGGATGAGTTTTGCTGTTTCCATTCAACCTAATCCTGTATGAGTATTTTCTCACATAACAGAAGCTCACTTAATTGTGTTTGTGTAGCCACCTGCCACAACAAGCCGACTCGTTGCAAACTTTTGCATCTTTTCATGTTTGTTTACGGGGTTCGTGGAGTGGGATCCTAGATGGTGCTGCATATTCTAGGGCTGTTCTCACGTAGGTTGAATACTGTATTGTGGATATCATCTTATTGCGAATTCTGACTAACGTTATCTTATTTATGTATGTCTCTAGTGTGTGTAATGTGAGTGCATGCACGAGTGTGTGCGTGCGTGTGTCTTCATGCGGCGTGTGTGTATTCACGCATGTGTGTGTACTCACCTATTTGTTCTTGCGGGGTTTGAGTTCTGGCCCTTTGGTCCCGCCTCTCAACTGTCAGCTGGTGTACAGGTTCCTGAGCCTACTGGGCTCTATCATATCTACATTTGAAACTGTGTATGGAGTCAGCCTCCACCACATCACTGCCTAATGCATTCCACTTGTTAACTACTCTGACACTGAAAAAGTTCTTTCTAACGTCCCTGTGGCTCATTTGGGTACTCAGTTTCCACCTATGTCCCCTTGTTCGCGTCCCACCCGTGTTAAACAGTTTACCCTTATCTACCCTGTCAATTCCCCTGAGAATTTTGTAAGTAGTGATCATGTCTCCCCCTTACTCTTCTGTCTTGTGTGTGTGTGCGTGCGTGCGCAGGCTTGCGTGCTTGTGTGTGTGTGGATAATTACGAGCAATAAGAGCCAGCTTCGAGTGATGTTTCTGTCAAAATTGTTGCTTGTTAAGCTCAGACAAGCCTAATGTGATTATTTACTGTGCTCTGCCACTCGACAAGTGCGCGGCTCTTTAAGCATCCCCCCTCCTCCCCCCCTCTCACCCCTCACCCCTCACCCCTCACCCCTCACAGACTGGTGCAACACATATTTTTTTGTTTGCAACCGGTGCCAAACTTGCTTCATGGGCCGGAGCAATAATTCAGACTGATTTAGGCAACATCATATCCCATTAATGCTTTACTGCTTGTGAGGTGTTGGCTTGGCCCATGCCCTCCCACCCCCCTTTTATCCCCCCCCACCCTCAAGCGTGGGCTACCAAAGCTAGTGGCTGGGGAGGTGCCTACACACATCAGGAGAAACAAGCCCAGGAATCATCAACCACTGACGAAACCTCTACATCCCTTCCATCAACTCTGGCGGCTTTGTTTACACTTATTTAACAGTTGATGAGCTGCGACACTCTACCGGGTTGTTGATAACACTAGGAACCTTGGGCTGTGCCACACTGGTGAGGCTGTGCCACACTGGTGAGGCTGTGCCACACTGGTGAGGCTGTGCCACACTGGTGAGGCTGTGCCACACTGGTGAGGCTGTGCCACACTGATGAGGCTGTGCCACACTGATGAGGCTGTGCCACACTGGTGAGGCTGTGCCACACTGGTGAGGCTGTGCCACACTGGCGAGGCTGTGCCACACTGGTGAGGCTGTGCCACACTGGTGAGGCTGTGCCACACTGGTGAAGCTGTGCCACACTGGCGAGGCTGTGCCACACTGGTGAGGCTGTGCCACACTGGTGAGGCTGTGCCACACTGGTGAGGCTGTGCCACACTGGTGAGGCTGTGCCACACTGGTGAGGCTGTGCCACACTGGCGAGGCTGTGCCACACTGGTGAAGCTGTGCCACACTGGCGAGGCTGTGCCACACTGGTGAGGCTGTGCCACGCTGGTGAGGCTGTGCCACACTGGTGAGGCTGTGCCACACTGGTGAGGCTGTGCCACACTGGTGAGGCTGTGCCACGCTGGTGAGGCTGTGCCACACTGGTGAGGCTGTGCCACACTGGTGAGGCTGTGCCACACTGGCGAGGCTGTGCACAGCACTGCTGTGTTGAGCAGCTCAGATATAGCTTGCCAACCCACGGTCCACCTGACTGTGATGGCCAGCACGGTGTGGTTCAGTGTTTCCATGCTAAGGTTCAGGGTTGAGAATATGACTCCAATATTGAGATGGATAATCAAGTACAATAAGGTCAGTATCAGGAAGCGCTACGAGCCCTTCATATGTATTTAGAGGAAGATACATATGTATTTACATATAATCAACACAAAAGATTCAGAAAATAAGTTGGTATAACATTTAAACATATGAGTGAGTGTCGTTGACTTTATTTCATACATAACTCTCTGCCAAATAACACTTAGTGGGCTGTTCTGTGAAGAAATTCAATACGCTAAAAAAAAAAAGATGTACCATGATCGAGACATACAAAGTTGTTCGATAGAGTATAGGTCCACTACAAGATGGTCAAGAATGTAGAGTTGCAGGTGTAGCTGAAGATGTTACGAATAAACACCTTCACTACGAGATTAAGGCAGCAACCGGAACAAGCTTGAGAACAAGGTAGCCGAGACTCATAAATGTGAGACTTGTGTTATAACTCTCTTATCAACTATCAAGTGTTGAAAACACATGAATGCAGGAGAAGGAGGTCGAGGCGGCCGACTAACAACTGCAAAGCGGAACCCTCAACACCTGAAACTACTCCATATATCAGCTAAGTAAAACGCGTTTTAAAACAAGGATTTTTTCGTCATGCGCCCTTGGTGAGTTTTTTTTTGAGCAAACAAAAACATTGTTACGGTCGAATGTTTGTGTGAGATCCTGCTACCACTGATACAGGGGACTCGACCCCACCTCCTGCAGCACGGAACTGAAGCAAGAGTTAGCAGCACCACCATTAACAGCATCAACACTCATAGCTGAAGCAGTAGCAACAGCAACCATGACAATAATAATACTAATAATAATAATAATAATACTCGCAGCAACACCAACACAGTTCAGGTGCCCAGAAAACAGGGAATATAATCCGGCGAGCAAGTACAGAGAGGAGCCCGAGTGCGCGGGCTGCCAGTCAGCTGTTACAATATGTAAATGTAAACAATACAACCTCCACCTGGCGAGGCTGACTCATGGGGGGTTCAGAAACACGGTGTGAACACAGACCAGTAACTGAGACGACCAGCTTGTTCATCTGGTGAACTGGAAGTTAACGTCTGGGGTCAGCATGCGTGTTGGAATTACCTCGTCAGAATGGCTTTCATCGGACACATTCTTTTGTCTCTTATAGGTGTCCTGTCTCTTGTACAGCCTTCTGTCTTCTGTACCGTCTCCCGCCTCCTGTACCGTCTCCCGCCTCCTGTACCGTCCCCTGCCTCCTGTACCGTCCCCTGCCTCCTGTACCGTCCCGGACCCCTTGCCTTGCTCCTCGTACCCTCCTTTGTCGTGCCTCTTGCCCTCAAGTTACCGCCCTAGTGTACCACACCCAGCACCTTCGCTACTGCCAGTACCCCAAACCCAACACAGTGGATCACATAGTATTTACTCCCTCCGTCTTGACTGACTGCCCTGCAAGTCACCCGTCGCTCTGTTTGTCGCCCGTCGCCTTCCTCTTCTTCACTATGGACCCCTTATGTTTGTCCCGCGTCGCCTGTCTCTACCTCACTATGGACCCTTATGTTTGTCCCCCGTCGCCTGTCTCTACCTCACTATGGACCCTTATGTTTGTCCCCCGTCGCCTGTCTCTACCTCACTATGGACCCTTATGTTTGTCCCCCGTCGCCTGTCTCTACCTCACTATGGACCCTTATGTTTGTCCCCCGTCGCCTGTCTCTACCTCACTATGGACCCTTATGTTTGTCCCCCGTCGCCTGTCTCTTCCTTACTATGGACCCTTATGTTTGTCCCCCGTCGCCTGTCTCTACCTCACTATGGACCCTTATGTTTGTCCCCCGTCGCCTGTCTCTACCTCACTATGGACCCTTATGTTTGTCCCCCGTCGCCTGTCTCTACCTCACTATGGACCCTTATGTTTGTCCCCCGTCGCCTGTCTCTTCCTCACTATGGACCCTTATGTTTGTCCCCCGTCGCCTGTCTCTACCTCACTATGGACCCCTTATGTTTGTCCCCCGTCGCTTGTCTCTTCCTTACTATCACGACTTCGAGAGTGTTAGTCCTGTGGCTAGCCTTCCCTGGCGGTTCCCTGTTCTGTGCGGATGTTAATCCAGGTAGCTTAGAGAGGTACAGGTATCCATCACAGCCAGACTGATCCGCTACTTCACCCGAACATTGTCCAGCTCTGTCTCTCTCTCTTATAAGCCTCGACTGTGTTGTCCAGTGACATGTGTAGGCAGGAGATAAAAGAGTGGACCTGTGATGTTTACACTGTGTTCTCTGATTTTTAGCTCCCAGACATATTCATTGGATATATCTTATATATCCCGCTATATCTGCCACACACCTGTATATGCTGTGTTACTGTGCACGGTTGGGACCCGACCTTACAGTATCTTGCACATGTTTACGGTGATATATATACATCTCTCGTCTTTATTCCAAGGGAGATTAGATTGAGTGCTTTGAGTCAGACTCAGTTTGCGTGCAAATGCCTCCCAGACTCCACGTGAAGCGTTAAGCACGTCTGGCCACGATGGCCTGACCATCTACAGCACTACAACACGTATACCACTGTAACGTTCACCTCTGCCAGGTGTCACAATTCTGTCCCCCCCCCCCCCCATTACTTATATTCCAGACCTATAAGATATTAGGAAGACGTTGGTCACTCTCGAGGAGGTAGAGAGTACCCACTCTCTGGGTACTCTAGGACCAAGAGTACCCAGACTGTTGTCTAAGACTGTAGTCTGTAGTCTGTAGTCTGGAGGCTGTAGTCTAAGGTAGTACTCACGTGGAGACCAGGTTCACAGGTCGGACACTATGTACACTATAAGCCATAGATGTATGGAACAAAAAGGAGGTCGGGTCGAGGACCGGGCCGCGGGGACGCTAAGCCCCGAAATCATCTCAAGATAACCTCAAGATAACCTCTAGATGTGGTGCTCCCTTCCTGTCATTTCTCTTCCACAGTGATCATTCCTTTTCGTTAGTAGCCCTTCCTGTCACCTTTCACTTTTCTCACACCTGCTGCCCCCTTTTCCCTTACACCTGCTGCTGCCCCCTTTCACTACACCTGCTGCCTCCCCCTTCCACTACACCTGCTGCTTCCCCCTTCCACTACACCTGCTGCCTCCCCCTTCCACTACACCTGCTGCTTCCCCCTTCCACTACACCTGCTGCCTCCCCCTTCCACTACACCTGCTGCTTCCCCCCCTTCCACTACACCTGTTGCTTCCCCCTTCCATACACAGTATGGGGGTCAGCAGTGGTGGTGGTCAATAGTGGGGGTCAGTGGTAGTGAGGTTAAATTATCTCTTGACAGGTGTAGATCCCCTTGACAGGTATGGGTTGCTCTAGTGGGTCAGGATCTTCATTGACAGATGTGCCCCCCCCCCCCGGCGAGCAAGGATCCGCCTGACAGGTGTGAGTGACAGGTGTGGGCAAACACTGCATCAGGATGATGCAAGAACATCATTTCCTGTCCCTTGCTCAAGACGGTGACGTGGGCAGCACGTCGACGAGGGCTGAGGGAGCGGTGATAAGGTGGGAGGGGCAAGGTGGGAGGGGCAAGGTGGGAGGGGCAAAGTGGGAGGGGCAAGGTGGGAGGAGTAAGAGCGAGAAATGAGAGGAGACGGAAAGTGAAAGGAACGGAGGAGAGGGTGAGGCAAGAGCAGAGGAAATGAAACAGAGAAGTGGGAGTAAGGTATGGGAGCTAGGGAGGGGGAGGGGGGGGGAGGGATAGGAGGAAGGGGAGTGGGTGGGGGTGCGGGAGTTGGTGGGGAAGAGGTGGGGAAGGGGGGGAGAGAGGGGGAGGGGGGGAATGTAACGTTTGAGGATAAGGGAGAGGTGGGGAGGGGGGGGGAGTAAAGTGTCTTGGGGGCATGTAGGAGGGAAGGGAGGGGAGGGGGGGGGTAGGGGGCTGAGGAGAGGAATGTACACTCAGCTCTTGAGTACACACCAAAACTATCATTCTCCACTCCCTCGATTTTCTTTCACCCGCGCAAGATATAGTTTACCAAGCTCTAGTAAACTAACATCGCCCACAAGAAACAAACACACCAGACACCCTGAGTCTCTGAGTCGCCAGAACTAAGAAACGCTCCAAGAAAAGAAAAGAAAATAGAAAAAAAAAGAGGTTCCGTCAATTCTGTGGCTTGACACCTTCTGCAAGGCTGCAGTTGCCGTTATTCTGCCCTCCAGCGCTGTTCCATGACATAACGAGGGGTTACCCTAGGGGCAGGGACGGAGGGACCGAGGGACGGAGGGAGGGCTGGGAGTGTAAGAGAGAGAGTGAGAGCCAGACAAGAACAGAAGTGGTACACAGACAGACTAACGTGACGCTTAACTTTCACCCAATCACACCCTGCCATGCCCCTTCACTGCCCGACCCCTAAAGCTTTCCAATCAAGAACAAATTATGACGAGAGGGAGATAATATTATCTGAGGTTCTTACTCAAGCTGTTGACCTCCTCGTGGGGGGGTGGGGGGAGGGGGGGGGTCGTCCCCGGTGCCGGTCAAGGGGGTTTTCCTCCAGCTGGACAAGCCATCGTCCGGCATAGAATCCAGCGCCCATGATTGTATATGTGCTCAGGGCGCTCACAATCATGACTGTAGACAGGTACAATACCGGAGACCTTCGGACTCGGCCACAGGCTTGTGTATATGCTCACTCAGTATACACGAATTGAACACACTTTACGTGTATTTTAAGGCGCGTCTATAAACACTAACTTGCGCACTCACACATGTATGCATACATGTATGAATGTAAGCACACACACACACACACACACACACACACACACACACACACACACACACACACACACACACACACACACACACACACACACACACACACACATTTAGGTTGTAGAGGCTAACTCCATTCAAAAGCAGGTATGATTGAGAAATAGGCCATGATTAGAGCTCGATCCTGCAGGCACAAATAGGTGAGTACAACTAGGTGAATACACACACACACACTGAACAAACAGGTTTACATCTGAG